TTGTCCGATGAGTCGGAGGACAGCGTCAAGTCGGCCACCGTACCCGGCGACCACCCCAAGACGCCCACCGGCTCGCCTGTCCCCGAGGTGTCGGCCAAGTGGACCCACCTCACCGAGTTCGAGCTGAAGGGGCTGAAGGCCCTGGTGGAGAAGCTCGAGTCGCTCCCCGAGAATAAGAAGTGCGTCCCGGAGGGCATTGAGGACCCCCAGGCGCTCCTGGAGGGTGTGAAGGTGGGCCTGGGTGTGGCCGGGCGGCAGGCGTGAAGAGAGGTGCGGCAGGCGTGCTGCTGCTGCGGACCAGGCCCTGCGTACCCACCAGGGGCTCCAGGGCTCGGGTCACGGCCAGTGCTTAGCCAGTCGGGAAGTAGCTGAGAGGTGGGGACCTCCTAGGTCCCAGAGCGGGGGAGGGCGGGCTGGCTGAGGTCGGCAGTGCTGAGGTGCCACATTGCACTGGCCGCGAACCAGCAGCGTGCTGAAGTTGCAGAACAAACTTAAGTTCCTTTTTCAGGAATGAGTAGTTCATTTGTCCATTAGGAAACAACCAGATGTTTCCTGGGACATAGAATTATGACTCTTGCTGGGTTTGGTGGCTCACGCCTGTAATTCCAGCACTCGGGAGGCTGAGGCAGGGGGATCTCTGTGAGTTCAAGGCTAGCCTGGGCTACAAAGTGCGACCCTGTAGCAAAAAAGGCCAAAAAAAGGGAAAGAAAGCGGGGTGTGGTGGCACATGCCTGTAATCCCAGCATTCGGGAGGCTGAGGCAGGAGGATCACTGTGAGCTCAAGACCAATCTGGGCTAAATAGTAAGTTCCAGGTCAGTCTCACAGTCTCAACTATATAGTGAGACACTGCCTCAAAAAAAAAAAAAAAAAAAAAAAAAAAAAAAAAAAAAAAAAAAAAAAAAAAAGGAAAGAAAGAAATTACTGACTCCTGCCCTCAGAGGGCCCTGACCTGGGCTGACATCAGGGAACCTGACAGTGCCACCAGCAGAGGGAGCCAGTGTGCAAACCCCAGTCCAGGTGCCTCCCTGTTTTATTTTTTATTTTCAGTTGGGAGGAGGCAGCTGGGGCTTCCCCTACCAAGCTGCCTCCACCATCACCTCTCTTCTGATAGCAGGCAGCTTCCCGAACACAGAGAGGGAAGTTGATAGCTCTGGAAGCTGCCAGGCCCACAAAACCCCCACCCAGGGGTTCCAGAACCCTTCCCTGTGAACGCGTCTGTCCCATGGAGTCTGGACCACTTTTGCAGGTTGCTGACCTCTTGTGAGTTTGTGGAAATGAGGGACTCCCCCTCCCAGCTCTTCAACACACACACACACGTACGCACGCACCCATATGCAGCACTAGCAGGTCTTGTACCCCTGTTTTTCCTGTACTACTTTTTTTCTTGGTGGTACTTGGGAGTAGTGAGCTTAGGCAAGTGCTTATCACTGAACTACCATCCTCTTCTAAACTGTGCATTTTTGTATGTTAGATTTCCTCAAGGAAACCTTTCGGATTCTGTCATGTGGTTGCATTTTTTGCATATTTTGGCTTTTGGGTGTTTATTTATTCTTTTTGGTACCGGGGATCAAACTTGGAATGTTGCACTTGTGAGGCAGGCGGCGGCACCACTAAGCTAAATCCCGGGCTCTGTGTGTGTTTGTTTTGAGGCAAGGACTCACTATGTAGTCAGGCTGGCCTACAACTCTAGGTGATCCTCCTGCCTCAGCCTCTGGTGCTGGGACTGCAGGTGTGCACCACCACGCCCATCTTGTGATTGCTTTTTCTTCTAAGATCCTGTAAAGTGCAAACAATATTTTCACAAACCGAAAAATAATAATATGGGTTCCCCAGATTTCATTAATGGATTAAAAACTCATTTGTCTGAAGAGGAATTTTTTCTTTTCAAAACCCCTTTTACTTAAAAGCCCCCTTGGGCTGGGGATTAGCTCCACGGTTCCACCATGTGCCTGCCTCACAAGCGCAACTTCCCGAATTCTATCCCTGGCACTAAGAAAAACAAAGCTCTCTTGTGTGCCTGGCGGGTTCATGTGTGTTCCTGGCTCCTGCCTGGTCACGTTTCTTCCTAGGTTCCCTAGCACCAGTTCCAGCCCAGGGCCTCTGACCCCTAGTCTGTGCAGCTGGCCCGGGGTTGCAGCGGCTCAGACATGACTCGGGGCCGTGAGGCTGAGGCAGCCTGTGACAGTGGTGATGCCGGCTGCTGTGGGTGTTTCCTGTGTGACTCGGGAACCCTCCCAGCGCCCCTAGATGGAGCACTCACTGTCCCATTTTATGGACACAGTTGGGGAATGCAGGTGAGTTAACTGGGCAGTGGGCAGCGTGTGCCCTCCGGCCACCAGCTGGGTTTCCCGACCGGAAGTGATTTCCTTGCTTCGAGTTTAGGGAAAAGATGCTGCAGTGGCTGCCTGGGCTTTCCTTACAGAGCAAGCCACAGGCAGTGGTGCTGACCCTGGTACCGGGCCTTCCTGTCCCCACTTTGTAGAGCCCTCTGGGGAGTCGGTGACTCAGGGACTCCCTTCTTCCAGACACTTCCCCCATGGGGGCCCGGACCTGGACTGTACAAATAAATGGTCAAGAACCGAAAGTCAGGCCAGAGGTGGTCATGGTTTGTGTCCGCTCTCAGCTACATGGCGTGTGGCCTTGGGCAGGTCACTCCACCTTTCTGTTTAAAATGGGGTATCGGTCTGGATGTGTTTTGTCCTTCTGGTGGTTTTTGGCCCTTTTGGATTACTTAGGTTCTTCATTATGAACCGAGGGTCCTCCCTATAAAATGAGCACAGACGAGGACCTCACTGAGCCACGTCCCCAGTTCCCCCCTTTTTGTGGTACTGGGAATCGAACCCAGGTCCTTGCGCTTGCGAGGCAGGCAGCGGAACCACTGAGCTAAATCCCTGGCACTCCCAAGCCCCTTTTTTATTTTGAGACATAGTGTCGCTAAGTTACCCAGGCTGGCCTAGAACTTGTGAGTCTCCCGCTTCAGCCTCCGAGAAGCTGGCACTATAGGTGTGCGCTACCACACCTGGCCAGCTGTTACCTTCTAAGGCCAAATGTTGGGACAACCACCGAGTTCCCTGCATCACCCGGCACCCCGCTGACCGCTCCTGGGCTGGGAAGCCTTAGCGTGGGGCCTTCTGTGCACGGGGACCCGCGGGTGAGCCATTTCTTTGTCCCCTCGGATGCCATGCATGGGCACAGGCTGAGCAGGAGTCACGTGTGAGAGTGCGGGGAGCTGTGACCGGGAGGGATCCAGGGTCTCGCACACGCCAAGCACACACTCATCCAAGACAGCGCTCTGCGCCAGCCGGCCTGGGGCTCACTGTGGCAGCTGTGGGGCCTGGCTTACCTCTGCCCAGACCATTTTTCTGTGTCCGGGTTGCACTCCCAGGTCCTGGGGCTTAGGACTCGGACACATCTTGGGGGACACAGGCAAGTGCCGCAGGTTGGGCCTGGCGCCCCGTCCAAGCCGGATGCCATCCTGGCTGTCTCTGCCCGGCCCCCTGAGTGGAGTGCACCCGTGCCCCCCTCTCTCTGCCTGCTGCCTTCCTGACCCTGCTCTGCCTCCTCAGCACAGCAGCGGTGGTATTTTTAGTCTGTGTAGACAGAGTTTCTGATTGTTGGCGCCCACCCTGGGAGCAGGGGCAGGAACCACGGTTAAGTCGTGGCTCTCTGGGGAGAGCAGTTGGCCGAGGGAGCAGGGCCACCGTCTTCTTGGGGGAGCAGGCACGGCCTGCATCCCCTGCTTCGGAAAGCCGGTGTTGGGTGGGAGTCTGGGCTTCCTGCGTCTGTGTGCAGGAGCCCCGCGAATGTGATTCCTCCAGCACCGCTAGGGTACCGCGAAACCCCAGCTTGAGCCCCAGGTCTCTCCGTTTTAGAGAACACTTCCCGGAGGGCCAGAGCCTCGGGCGCCCTCTGGTGGCCACTGGGGGCACCCAACACACGCACTCAGGCACAGACTTGTAGTTATTTTGAGGCCCGGTGATGTTATGTAGTCTAGGCTAGTTTCTTCCTGCCTCAGCTTCAGTGCTGGCATTCTGGGTATGTGCCACCCCAACCTGTCTATAATCTCAGCACACAGGAGGCTGAAGCAGGAGCATTGCCACAACTTCAAGGCCAGCCTGGGCTATATAGTGAGTTCAAGTCCAGCCTAAGGTTCATGTAGTAAGACTGTGTCTCAAAAAAAAAAATTTTTTTTGTTTTTGTTTTGTTTTTTTGAGACAGGGTCTCACTATGTAGTTGAGTCTGACCTGGAACTCACTGTGTAGCCCAGGCTGGTCTCGAACTCACAGCGATCTTCCTGCCTCAGCCTCCTGAGTGCTGGGATTACAGGTGTGTGCCACCACGTCCAGCCCCCCGAAATGTTTATTTGTTATTATAATTTATTCATTATTTGCTAGTATCAGTAAGAACTTTTTTGTAACCAGTCATTAATGCTTGTGTTACTGGCTCCAGCTCTGATACTAAAATCAGAAACCGTGAAACATTTCAGAATGAAACTACGGCCGGGCGTGGCGGCGCATGCCTGTAATCCCAGCACTTGGGAGGCTGAGGCAGGAGGATCGCTGTGAGTTTGAGACCAGCCTGAGCTACATAGTGAGTTCCAGGTCAGTCTCAACTACATAGTGAGACCCTGTCTCAAAAAACAAAAACAAACATACAGAACGAAACTACAGGAGCTCATAGAAGAGTGGATGATTTTCAGTCCATGTTCTCCGTGTTTGCAAAGTCGTAGCCAGCGGCCAGAGCAGCCTAGGAGTGTGTTCGGCTTACTGTGATTTCTTCAAAAGTTGTAGTTTGCCAGCATTTAAAACTGCAGACGTTTCAAGTGGAACTCCAGGCCCTTGATTTCTTGTGATGACGTGGAGCTCTGGTGGGACTTTGCGTCCCCCGGGAAGGCAGAAGTGTGGAACTGAGCATGCTCCCTGCTCTGAGGGGGCTGTGACCTCCAGCTGCAAGCTCCCATCCCTATCGCCGAGGTCTTTCCTGCCCAGATCTGTAGCACATCTAAGGTTGTCGGCCCAGCCTCGGGTCTGGGACTGGGCCCGGGAGACCAGAAGTCCTGGGTAGGTGTGGTCCTACCCAGCTGTACAGGGCCCATAAATAAGAAGGAATTGGAAACCTTTACTGGATGTAGAATGTCTTTCTGGTAGGCCCTTTTTTGCTCTCTGAATTTTGGGGCAGGGAGGAAACTTTAGAAAAGTGAACACCAGTATGGGAGGGGGAGGGTATGAGACTCCTCTACTAAGCGGAACCATGAAATGTCATCCAGTTTCCTGCTGGGGGGGCAGCTTTGGGCTGCGCGCGACCTCTGACTGGGGACACTGAGGAACTCCTTCCGCACAGGGAGTGGCTGAACTTGTTCTTTCTCTGATTTGCAGGAAGTGGATGAGCATAGCTCATGTCTGTATCTTGCTTTTTGTTGTTTTTTTTGGTTTTTTCAGAGACAGTCTCACTGTGTAGCTCAGGCAGACCTTGAACTTACTGTTACTGTGTAGCCCAGGCTGGCCTTGAACTTGCAGTGATCCTCCTGCCTCAGCCTCCCGTGTGCTGGGATTACAAGAGTATGCCTCCGTGCCCAGCCCATTTGTTCTTAACTGTCCCTGAAAGAGTGCTTTTGTATAATCCACATATTCCCTGTCAAGGGTCAGGAGGATGGGGCCAGTCCGAGTCCAGGCCCTCTTCTGGGTGCTGTGGATGAAATGCCTGCATCCGGGGCTCGGGACGGAGGCGCCAGAGAGCAGCAGGCTCAGAGCTCAGCCTCCCCTCGTCTGGGGCCACAACAATGGCTTTTGAGACTTTCCAAGCCTTGGTCACCTCAGCCACAAGTGAGGACGACTCAGTGGAGTTGCATTTCACATGTGGAAAGGTCCACAGGTCAGCTGCACACAAGATCTCCGTCTGGAAGAGTCAGAAATACCCTGCAGATCCTTGCAAATGTTCCCAGAGGCCTGGCCACAGTGACACGTGGAGACCCTGAGCTTACAGCCCACTTGTCTGCCAGCATTTGCTTGATAACTCCATCCTCTGTCAAATCAGATCAGATATCTACTTATGTTCAGGGCTTGTTGCAAAACCCAGTTACAGCCACTCTTGGTGGGCCACACCTGTAATCCTAACACTTGGGAGGCGGAGGCAGGAGGATCTCCGTGAGTTCAAGGTCCGCCTGGTGCCTGGTGAGAGGTGCCCTCGGTGTGATTGTGAGTGACGTGCGGACCTCACGGGGAGCTGTGCATTCCTCTTCTCACAGGCTCTCTGCAGGGGGCTGCTGTGTGTTCTGTGGACCCGCTAACCCTGGTGGCTTGCGTTCCGTGCAGTGGCAGATGCTGCTGGACACTGATTTGTGTGGAGCACGGATTACTTCGGGCCTCCTGCCCCTGGGAGGCCTCCTCTTCACCCTGGGCTAACGTGGCTCCTTTGTTTGGCACAGAATGTCCTGAAGGAGCACGCAGAGGACGATGCCAGCCTGGCCATTACTGGGGTGCCTGTAGTCAGTTGGCCAAAGAAGACTCCAAAGGTAAGACTTGGGACCCTCGCTCTGGGGAGGCGGCTCCCCCTGCCTTGCACACCTCCTTTAAGTGTATATTGCAGCTCTTGGGGGGGGCGTCTTCTGGGAGCAGACTCCCCAGTAACAAAATTTTTCAGTGCTATGTTCCTTGCAAATTTTTGAGTTTTCAAGGGTTCAGTTTACCCAGCTGCCGTTGCGGTGTCGAGCAGTGCCCCCTGGTGGTTACTTAGATAACTGCGGAGGAGCGATGTCACCCACCTTGCTCATTTAGGTGGATTTTCTCTCCCTCCCTTCTTTGCTTCTTTCCTCCCTCCTTTCTCCTCCAGCTGCTCCGTGGACTGTTTTCCTCCCTTTTTTGAAAAGTAACTTCTTCCTCTTTGTAAACCTCATTAGTGGTCAACATAAAAAGATTTACTCGAAGGGGAAAGGAAAAGATACTCAGAAGAGTAATAATGGTTACATCGTTGGACACTTACCGGAAATGAATTCCTGCCCAGCCCCCACATCCCTTGTCTGTTTAGCCTCCAGCAACTCAAGGGAAGAAGAAGTGAGGTCACTTATAGAACAGAGCAGAGTGCTTGAAGGTAGGGTAGAGCAGAGACTGGTGTCGCCAGGCGGAGAAAGCAGTAGTGTTTTGTCACACGTCCACAGCAGCACAGGGTGGAAAGTGTACATAGCCGCTCTCTACCTACCATGCATCTGGGTTTGTCTGCACTCAACTTCACCATTTTCTTGGGCAATTTACGTGAGCTTTCTTTTTGGTATGTAGTTCAGGCTATCCTTAAACTCAAGGATTCTTGGGAGGCTGAGGCAGGAGGATCTGAGCGTTCAAGGTCAGCCTGGGCTACATAATGAACTCAAGGCCTGGCTGAGCTGCACAGTGAGACCCTGTCTCAAAAACGAAAAAGGCACCCATGTGACTCACTTACGTTTCTGTAGGACTGTGCTGTTCTAGGTGGCTCACTTCCGCCCCGTTATCTCACTGGTGTGCATCCTAAACGTGGCATTCCCGGGGAAAGGGTGTTCTCTTTGAAGCTCAGTGGGAGCATAGGTGGGTGGAGGAAGGGGCGAGAAAGCGTCCCCCCCTCGTGGTCCCCAGCTCAAGGGCCAGGTGGGTGATGCAGCCACGCGCAGTGGTGTGGGTCCTTGTCACAGCCCCGAAACCAGGCAGCCGTGAAACCCGGAGAGGAAAGTGAGGCTTTGCCCTTCCACTGCTCTCTGCCCAGCTGAGGAGTTGCCCTGGAGGATGTACTGGGGTCTGCAGAACTCGGGCTTGTTTTGTTGTTTTGTTTCGGTGTTAAAGGGGGTCGAACCCAGGACCCCGTGCATGCTAGTCAAGGTCTGTACCGCTGAGTTCCATCCATGGTCCGTCTTACTTTATGTTACGTTATAAAATGAACTTGCTTAATTTCCTGGGCTGGGCTTGAACTTTCCATCTTCCTGCCTCAGTCTCCCAAGTAGCTGTGTATAGGCCTGCACCACCAAGCCTTGACTGGAACACAGGCTTTTGAGAAGACAAACTCAGGGCCAGGCATGTTGGCACACGGCTGTGATCCCAGCATTCTGGGAGCCTGAGGCAGGAGGATCCCAAGTTCAAACCCAGTCCGGGCAATTTAGTGACCTAGGAGACTGTCTCCAAAAAAAGGCCCTGGGGAGTAGCTTAGTACCAAGGCCTAGAGTATGAGTACTGCCAAAAAGAAAAAAACTAAGCTGCACTATACCATGTCATCTCAGAGTGGGGGGCCCTAGCAAACGTCTCCGGGGGCAGTGTGCCCATGTCCTTGCAGGGACCCCAGCCCACCCTTGGGGCCTCAATCGCTCCCCCTTTAAGCCAGACCCATTCTACCCTCTCCAGAGACAAAGCAGGAAGCTATCTCCTGGGATCGCGACCTTGTCTAAGATCCTGCCAAGGGGGGCTTATCCTGTCCTGGGCACACAGTGCAGCCCAGCTCAGGGGTCCGCACTGGAGCCTCAGACTGGGTGGGAGAGGGGCAAGGGCAGAGGACGAAGACCGATGGGTTCTTAACAGCGCGTCCTTGTGTCACCATCATGTAATCCATGGTTAGGTCGTTTCTGTGCCCTCGAAAGAAACCTCATCAGTCAGTCTCAGGGGCAGCTCACGGGTAGGCCACTTGCCTGTCATGCGTCAGGCCCTGGGTTCTATCCTCAACTCTGCAAGAAAAAAAAAAAAAAAAAAAAAAAAAAAAA